GTGCCAATTGTCTGGGCTATCTCCCTATTCCACAGATCAACCAGGGCATTAACAGGATAACTAATTCTAGGAGCTGGAAAATATCCCACAGCATTCAGGATTGAGGAGCCACCATAAGCAAATAGGTCCTTTAAAAAGTGATTACTTGAGATATTGTTTTATATAAACACAAAATAAACTTGCATCACATTGTTAGTCTTATGAAATAAAATTGCGAAGTATGTATGATTTTGATCTTGAAGAGAATAAATTAAGATTGTGAAAGTACATAGTATAGCTCTTTTCTTTTTAAGAAACAGTAGGTTGTAACTTACATTGGTATTTTAAAATGTGTCTTGAATATTTGTTTTCCAGCCCTTTTTAATGGTGTGTGCTTTGTCTAACACTATTTTGCACAATTCCGGGTCCTTCCACTGGTGTTATATGAGTCTGGAGAGATAAGTAAGATTGGCAGACTATTATGTGGAATAAATTCAGAATGGGACTTGGGAGCTCTTCTAATTCTTCTTTTAGAGTAACAATGGTAGCTTACTAAGCTTTAACCCCAAGTCAATTTTCAGAAAACATTATTGGAGGTGGCATTTTCACAGACCACAAGGACTGTTTCTCTAATTCACTGATTTATGGACGTACTCAGTCACATATATAAACTTCAACTTTCCCACAATTTGTTTTGTTACAGCCTAGGGAAAAACACAGCTTTAATTAGCAGTGTTGGTACTTCTTGTGCACAAGATACCAACAATATGGAGATACAAAATATTTTTATCATGGTAAACAAAAACAAACGTGAGACTACCATTGTTTCAGAATCAGTTGCAGAGGCATGCAAGTCTCCCCAGTAACTGGATAGACTTAACATCTGGATAATTTCCCATACTTGCTTCCATTTGCCTTAGACCAGCGTTTCTCAACCTGGGGGTTGGGACTCCGGGGGGGGGGGGGCATGAGAGGTTGCCAAAGACTATCAGAAAACACGGTACTTTCTGTTGAGCATGGGGGGTTTGTGTGGGAAGTTTGGCCCAATTCTATTGTGCCGTCGCGCTTGGGGGCTATTATTCTTAATGAAGGAGGGATGGACGTGGCATCTTTCCCCCAAGGGATTGCTTCTTGCCCTCCTTTAGGAAACTGGAACTCTCAAAAACCCAAAACGCTGTAAATAACTCAAAATAAGTTTTATTGATCACAAAGAGTTATTTCTTTAAAGCAATGAGCTGGAAACTTCAGAGGGGTGAAGGAAAATATACGTTACAGTCTCAATTAGTCCTGGGTCCAAGGGGTTTGAAGCTGAGAAGCCTCACCAAGTTTCCTCTTTCCTCAATGGCTGTGAATGCCGGAGCAAACCACAACCCCAGTTCAGATGGCCTATGTTTTGAAGACTCAGGATCTTCCTTTGGTGCCAAAAGAACCAGTTTGAAGGCGCTTGAGACTTCCAACGTCGTTCAGGTTGGTCTGAACATGAAGCACAAGTCTCAAGGGTAAAAAACCTCAGAACTGGTGCTAAGAGGTAACTTAAATCAGGGTCTTTTAGAGTCAAGTCTCTTACTCACGTCCATCTGGTAGAAACTCTGATGGCAGAATGAAAAGAAAGGAAGCACTCCCCTCCTGCAGGAAGAGGTGGAGCCAAACAGTACTGATTGACAGCTATAAGTAACCAATCCATCCAACTTATACATAAGCAGGGTAAAAAGGCAGGATTAAGCATGATACAACAGTTTAAATCTTGCAACTAACAGTTTTATACATAGGTGGCGCCACTCGTGCCGTCACATCTATCATTGGTGAGGTTCAGAATGCTCTTTGATTGTAGGTGAACTATAAATCCCAGCAACTAAAACTCCCAAATGGCAAGGTCTATTTTCCCCAAACTCCACCAGTGTTCACATTTGAACATATTATTTGTGCCAAGTTTGGTCCAGATCCATCATTGTTTGAGTTCACAGTGCTCTCTGGATGTAGGTGAACTACAACTCCAAAACTCAAGGTTAATGCCCACCAAACCCTTCCAGTATTTTCTCTTGGTAATGGGAGTTCTGTGTGCCAAGCTTGGTTCAATTCCATTGTTGGTGGAGTTCAGAATGCTCTTTGATTGTAGGTGAACAATAAATCCCAGCAACTACAACTCTCAAATGACAAAATCAACCCCCAAACCCATATTACAAATTTGTGCGTATCGGGTATTTGTGCCAAATTTGGTCCAGTGAATGATAATACATCCTGCATCTCAGATATTTACATGACAATTCATAACAGTAGCCAAATGACAGTTATTAAGTAGCAACAAAAATAATTTTCTGTTGGGGGTCACCACAACATGAAGAACTGTATTCAGGGGTTGCGGCACTAGGAAGGTTGAGAGCCATTGCCTTAGACCAGGGGTCCTCAAACTTTTTAAACAGAGGGCCAGGTCACCGTCCCACAAACTCTTGGTGGGCCGGATTATAATTCGAAAAAACATGAATGAATTCCTATGTACACCGCACATATCTTATAGTGCAAAAAACATTTTAAAACAATACAATAATTAAAATTAAGAACAGTTTTAACACATATAAACTTATTAGTATTTCAATGGAAAGTGTAGGCCTGGTTTGGCTGATGAGATAGGATTGTTGTTGTTGTGTGCTTTCAAGTAGTTTCATATTTAGGTTGACCCTTAGTGAGGGCCGGGTAAATGACCTTGGAGGGCCGCATCCGGCCCCCGGGCCTTAGTTTGAGGACCCCTGCCTTAGACTGTATGTGCTTGACACATCTTCATCTTGGCTGACCTTGAACAATTAGCAGACAGCCGACTTCTCTGATATATCATTCCTTGATTAGGAAAGATTGTTTATCTAATTGATATAAGAGCCAGTAGTAGCATGTCTGTGTGGTTTTTTTTTCTTTTCTAAAAGTTGTTCCTAGTTTCTTGGAAACTATAGTCCAAGTTCTAATCTCCTGATTTTGGCAAAGATGGTTTGGGAAAGTTTTTTCTCAGTTGCTCTGAGGACATCAAGAGGACCACTTCAACATGCTTTGAATGCAATTTTCCTGCTTCTTGGCAGGGGGTTGGACTGGATGGCCCACAAAGTCTCCTCCATCTCTATGATTCTATATTTCAGCAAACTTTTCATTCAAAATTAACAATATAACATGTGAAATTAAGAAATTTGGACAGTTAAGCCTTGCATAAGTGAATAAAAACATTTTGAGATCACTTGAAAGGTTCTTCCAAAATGCATCCCAGGATTTTTTTTTCAACAAATCCCCACCTTTTGTATAATTTCCATTTTGGAGTCTAAACCTATTTCATTATGGTTTCAAGCTGCTTTAGGACTGAAAGTGTTTTGATTGATGATCTTTATAGTGATAATGACTTTATAGATTCACCTTTGATTTCTCGTGTCCCTTGAAACGATCTCAGTACTCTTCTATATCAATTATACTATTTTACAGTGAGACTGCTCCAACCATATCAAAGTATTGCAGGAGTAGGAAGCTGTTATTCTTGTTGACAGAAACTCACCATCTACATATTATTTGTTACTCATGTTTATGAACAAATACATACAAGCATGTTCAGGGTGCTAATAATTCTCAGTTTTATTCCTTCTTTAAGAGCCTAGCCTATTCTGACAGAGGATTAAAACTTGTATTTTTAAGAAGGCATTTAACTTCCAAGTGCATATCTTAGTTTGGTTTTTATTATTCTACCTGCTGTTAAGCTAATCTGCTGATCTGCAGTAGCAAAGTGATAAATGCAGCATCCTGAACTTAATTTTAACATATATATTGCTGTAAGATGGGTTTATTTCTATGTACTTCTTGATCTTCAGTATATGAGATACACAATGGTTAATTCTTTTCAAAGGCTTAGTAAGAAGCCAAAATGATCTCAAACAAAATTCATTTTACAGGAATACACAGGTGCTTCTTACACCCCCATTTATTTATATGCTACGAAAATGCAGATATTAGGCAGATAAGAGTAAGCAGAAATATAGTGCCTGTCTGTAAAATGGAGGTGTATTCATGAAACAAATTTTGCATCTGAGGTCAAATATATCCACGTGCAGGAACTCTGAAGACAACACAGTGAAGCCCCCACAAACACAAGGACTTCAACCCCATTTTATGATAGTCGGAAATTGTTCTGCATTCCCAGAACACAAGCCAAATCCAGTACACGCTAATGCTCTTTTATTGCAAAGACAGATTTCTATAACCTATCAAAAATTAAAGTTAAAAGAATCACATCAGAATATCAGCCAGATATGATTTAGGACCCCAGAAGAAGAAAGCCATAAACTGTTATTGGATTTATAATAGAAAACTCTCTATCTTTGTCATACTTGCATTCTGGCATTGGCAAATGGCCAAGACTGTAAAAGCAGAATAAATATAATAATCTCAAAACAGAATGGCTCATGTACAGCTAGACCATTCTTGATTTTAAAGGGAATACGCTTCAGTTAACCCTGAACCATTCCTGCAGAGATTTCTGTGAATATTTGATAGCTCTTCCAAGTAGCCCAAAACACTATCCACAGGTAAGCATTTTATTACATTTCTCTTATTCCACTGTGGATCCTTGGCTAATGCAATCTGAATGGCACTGCGGAAATCTCACTGCATCAGGAACAATCTAGCACAGGAGTTTTCAAAGTGAATTCTGAGGAGCTCTCTTCTCTCCACTCTTTTTTCTTTCTTTCGTCATTCTGGAAAGAAATATTGTATATCAAGTGTGCATGCCCAGCCCAGAAATGGTGTGATGTAGCACTACAGCTAGCTTATAGATGCAGCCGTGCAACCAGAGAAAAGCAACACCAGTAATTTACTTGAAGTCCAGTAATTTATTTGCGTTCTGGAAGGCAGCCCATTTCCTTTGTCTATGCAATTACAGATATACATTGGTCAATGAAGCCAATACATTTCTGGACTTTGCTTATTTAACAGAAACATTGACAGCAGGGGTAGAAAGAAACAATATAAGTTCCTAAGCCACAAAAAAGCAGCACAACATGTTTTAATACACTTTTATTCAAAACGAACAATGTGCACATGTGAAATGAAGCACGTCAGGTAGGCTTTGCATACATAAACAAGAGCAAAACTTATTGCAATGCTTTTTTTCAACAAGGCAGGATAGCTGGCAGGGCAGGCCATCTTTCCATTTTTCTGTTTTACTCTTCATGAATGCTGAGTAAGTTATTCTGGAGGTGCTGTTTGCTTTGTTATATGTAACACACACAACTACAGTAAATTCCCAATTTTTTCCATCTCAGACCCGTGAATGTGGGGTCAACTGTATTATTTCTTTTGGTTATGGGGTGACCCTGATACTTACAAAAAACAAACACAATAGACATTAACAAGGCACTGACAAAAGAGGCATGAAGCACTTGAATCAGTTCTGGTTTTGTACATGCTCTACTCTTTAGACATACAAGTCCTGCTAACATCTGTCTAATCTTCTGGTTTTGATTATTCACATTTGACAGGGGAGGAATAAAATGGCAACAAATATATTGCCTTAGTCCTATAAGGATTCAGATGATCAACCACTCCATTTATATCTTTTTTGAAGATAAACCAGAAGTGACAGAATGCAATTCAATTTCTTATTTCTTCATATGTCTCTCCTTTAAACACAGCAATTCTGCTCAGTAGTTTGGCCCTTCATGTTACTTATTAGTCATGACAGCCAGCAACACTCCCCTTAGATTTAGTGTCATTATACCTCAATTATCAAGTAATGCCTTATAGCATGACTCTCTCTGTCTGAAATATTTCAGTCCACAGACAACCAATTTAAACCACACTCATATTAACAAGAACAGGGAAGTGTTAAACCTGTGTCTGGACAGCACAATTTCAGATATCTTCCAGATATGCAACATTAAGGAAAAGCTGCTGCAGTCAGACATTTAATTCCTACAAGTTTTGATTAACCATATTCTTTATTAAAGTTTCTACTAGTACTTGATGCAGTAGTCGCTGCCTGTGGGTCTGAACAGACAATGTAATTCTCAGAAAGCCAGAGACAATCCATTATTGTGCTTCTAAAAACTCCTATTTATTAACAGAGCTATTATCCAAAGTATTTGATGCAAAAGTGGGTTTGCACATAAAATGCGAAGATTAAAGGCAGCAGAAAAACTACAGTATAGTCAACTTACTTGATTTAAGGAAGCTGTGGCCTTGAGTTTGCAAGACCTGAACAGTGCTGTTAATAAAGATGTTTCTTAGAGATTTTTCATTCATAGGATTGTATGAATTCAAAACTGACTTGACTGCACATAACTGCAGACGGATGAAACAATCACATTATGTTTTATTCCCATACTAGCTTATACAAACATTTTTAACTTTTATTATGTGTATAGATAGATAATCTTGACTTAGTAAGTGAAACAAGAATAGCTTACCCTAACAAGATAACCATCTATAGACATTATTTTTTAAGATAATGAAAGTTCCATACTGATTTACTCCAACTTGCACAATAAACTGGTGGAACTCAGATGTTTACAGTATTACATTATTTGAAGCTTAAATAGAGAGATCACTGATAGCATATTTGCATTTTACCATCTCATCATGGTTTATTTTAAGTCACACAGATTGCTTTTCTGAAACTACTTCGATATTGGGTTTTCACAAGTACAAATACACATAAGTCGACTTCATGAGGAGGTTTAGGGACCAAAATGATAGGTTTTGATATGATTATAGCAGGAAAAAGTGGCTGGGGAAGTTACTTGGGGATGGAGCATAAAAAGATCATATAAAAGATCATATGTGACAGTCACTATAACATGATGTGCCTTTAAAAGCAAGGGAATTTTTTATCATTATATGTTCTGTAATTGTATTACAAATACAAGACTTTCCATATAATTATAGAAAAGACAGCCCTTTAGAGCCAACTACACAATGTAATATAATAATAATAATGAGTCAACTTCAACCAAGTTGGATTTTAATAAGACTTCAGAGTGCTGGTAGGAAGCCAAATTACATGTCCTAATATACAAAATAATTTCAACATAGAAAATAAAATCTCACAAAAGCACCACAATATTTAAAATAAACACAAACATCTTTGGGATGAGAAATATTTTCTGAACACACACAATAAGGTATATAATAATATTTAACTTTTCCCCCAAATTCAAATTGAACAGTTTCTGAAATGTATGGCACAGGTCCAGTTTTTAATAACTAAAAGCAAGCTAAAACCCTAATTATGACATTTGGCATGAACAACCTCAGCACAGACTGAAACTCCCCAATTTCCCTTAAAGAAAAAGAAGTGATTATGTTACCTTAGAGGCTGGTTCCAGCACTGTAATATGCTGGATTGTCTAGCACAGATTTAGGCCAATGAATGAGTTTCCTCTTAGAAATTAAAATCAGCTTCAAATAGGGTCCCAAAGGTGAAAGCCTAATGATTTATTTACTTATCCTCTACTAAATGGAAGATATCTTGGGGGAAAGGAATTACAGCTATTATAACAGTACATTCAATACAAAACATTTTTTTTCAAATATAATTGAACACATGCTCATGTACCAGACTGTAACAGGAGAAGCAATTACAGGGATGAACATCTGGTAAAGTATCAAGGTGTAATATACAAGGTTGGATTTCGCACAACACAATATTTTGTCTGTTCTATAGATGACTAACCCTTCTGCTTGAAATGCAACGTCTTAAACAGTCTAGGCTTTATGTAGATCTACTAAACAATACTAGAATGTTAATGAAGTTGTCTGAGCTGTCCTAAAAGAGGAAAGAAAATCATAGGTTATGAGTTGTGATTGCTTTTACCTCTGTTTGGATTAAAACAGGTATTACCACAAAATAACTGTTCTGTTCACAGACAAGTCTAGGTCTCACCTACTGTTTCTATTTAGAAAAGGTTTAGCAAATCACAGAAGTCAACTCTTGAAAGTATGGCAAGGAAGACAAAAATTCTCAGGCTGGATATAGTCTTTAGATGTCTACTTAAACTGTAGTGGCTATTAAAAAGTTATGTCTAACTTCAAGATGAAAGCATTAGCAGCTTCTAAGAAAAGGATAATCACAATCTTCTAGAGATTTAATTAGATGTAACTCACAGAAGCTTTTGACTTGGTCTGCTGTTAATTGAATCAAAATCAATGACTATCTTATTGCACTTTGGTTTGAATTTCCTAAAAAGGGTGGGGAAGAAGGGGAGAGAGAGAGAGAAAGAGAAAGAGAGATGGATATTAGCTAGTGAAGAAGTTAAACATTTTGTTTGCTTTGGCTCTCAACTAAATTTTAAGAAGGGAAAAATATCCTTGGATTCACTCTGCGTTTTATCTCTATAGGAGCCAATTATAGTGCACCATACTGAGAGAAACCCGGACAAGAAAGCCTAAGACAAAAAGACACATGGGGTTGTTTGGTCCGTATGTTCTTCAGCTATTGGAGTTCATAAATTAGCCAGGAGTCAAAGGATTTCTAACAACTTAGCTGCAGGAGGTGTTATCATGTAACCAGTTCTTCTGCAACATTTGATTTTTTTTTCCATGGCAATTTTTCATACAAAACTTCCAAAGTTTGCTTCTGCAATATGAGAGCAAAGGGGACAACATGCCACACTATGCAAAACTGAGAAAAAAATAACTAGTGAAGCTGAAATAATTTCAAAAGTTACAACTTTAGAACTGTAAAATCAATATTGGCAACAAAGCTCGTCTTTTTACATCATTAGAGCATCTGCTGCAGCAATTAGCAAGAAAGGTATTTGGGGACCGTGGATATATTTTACAATCTACCAGTAAACAGAGGATTATGCAAATAGTGTGGATTTAGTGTCTCATTAAGCTTGACAATTCAGTTCTCGAGATTCATTAAGCATACCCATATCCTCACAAATCAATACAAAAGGCAAAAACCGTCAACACAATGATAAATACATTTGGGATTGCACACAAGCTTTATCTAGCCCAACAGCAGGAATTGCTGGAGGTTTTTTAACACAGGAAACAGTCAGGAAAGATTTCAGTGGCAACAGAATGAGTTACGCCTCCACTTCACCAAGTGCCTACGGTGGACATATGATTCACCAGAGTAGAACTTCAAGTACTGTTTTACTGGTTCATGATGTCTATTTTAACCCAGCAGTCAGAACTGCTGTTATCTATATAAAATGTAATTAAGTTTCAAAAACATCTTCACGTTCTGAAAAATAACTGAATAGATAGTACATTAGAGGTATCAGAAGAATTACCTAACACGTTTAGTTCTTTTAGCATCTCTTAAACTCTCTTACATTTAGGGAAAACTGCTTTGAATATCGGTTTGGAAATGTATAGCCACATTGCAAGAGGTAGGTTCAATTTAATATTGTTTAAAATCACCTCAAAGTCATAATTAGAAATTAACCGTGCAATTCTATGCACATCTATTCAGCAATAAATCCCACTGAATGGGATTATGCTTGCGACAAATTAAGTGAGTACAGGACTGCTTCTAAAGATATAATTTTATACATAAAATATAGGTACTTAACATATACATGCCTTCAAGTTGCCTGCCGACATGCGGCAACCCCCTGAATTCCATAGAAAACCAGTACTAAGAGGCTGTTTTGCTAATTCCTTCCAGGGACAAACCCTACAAAACTCAGTAAGAGTTGTTTCTGAGCAAGGATGCATAGGGTTAGGATGATAATAATAAAACCAATCAACTGGTGGTTAAGTGCCCCTTCCACTTGTTCTTTGCTGCCTGGGAAAACTAGAACTGTTGAGTACAAACTCCGTGGAGGGAGATTCTGGCCTAATACAGGACGAAACCTCTATTAATAAAAAAGATGGCAAGGGTAGAACAGGAGGAGGTTGTAGGAACTTTTCCACAGCAGGTATTTAGACAGATACTATATAACCTCCTGCCCTGAACGCCCTAGTTACAACTGCATTTCAGGACCAGAGCAGAGCTTGGGGTTAAACAGGACTGCCCCTAAGACCCTTCCAACTATGAGTCTATGTAACATCTCCACAGCCATATTCTTTAAACTAGTGGTTCTCAATTGCTGGTCCTCCAAATGTTTTCAACTGCAATATCTGGATCCTATAAGTCCTAACTAGTCTGGCCAATGGTCAGAAAGTCCCAAACATTTGGAGACTCAAAACTTGAGAACCACTGCTTTCAATTATCCTTCACTGGCACAGTAAATTGACATGATTCTCAGACAGCAATTTTTTTTTTACTATTCTTACAGTAAAGGTGTTTGTGAAGTAAAGAGTATCTGTGACAGGTGATTGGTTTGCAAATATCATAAAGGGGGGGGGGGTCCAAATCATGTTAGCTATTATTTCTACATAATATTGTAAAAAACATTTTATCGTTTTCATGAAAGTAGCAGTTCCTCAGTATTGGTTTATAAAGATTTATGAACCTCCCATCAGTTGGGTCAACAGACATATCTAATATAACCTGCAATAAATCCAACTGTATTTGACAGCCATCTTTCCATTCTTCATGCATGTAAAAAGATGGTATGGAGTGGTTGCTACCACATATGTTCGGATTCCTTGATAATCAGGTAAGACATACTGGCTACCATGCCAGTTCAATTTTTTTGCATGAAATGGAACATCAGAGACACAAAAAAGTAGAATGGGCTACAGAAAGGAGTTTGTAAGAAACAGTCCCTTCCCTTGATTTTGCTTCACCTTTTTTTGAGTATTTAATGTCCTACTTCGCCTACTTCTATTCAGGGCCACACAAGAGAAGACCTCTTGCTCAAAGAAAGTACCCACTGATCCCACATGAAAGGAAGATGGGAGGGAGAAGTCTTACCACACCCTTCGGCAAAGCCTCACCTATATGTAATTCTAGCTAAATCAAACAAGCGGCGTGAAGCTGTCATCTCTGGAGTATCATGATATTTGTCAGACATAAAGATAACTTCTTTGATACCTAGAAGACAGCAAGAAGACATCACAACTCAAAACAAACAGGTTAGATAGCTTCTAGAACAGATTAGTTTAGATTATGATCTATTTAGTGATGTTTTCAAAGAAAATAGTGCATTCTAAGCTTCCAGTGACAAAACCAATTGTGCTACTGATAAAACAGAGGCTAATGCTCAAAACCTCTAGTATTCAAGATAGAGAGGGTAAAGAGCCTTTTCATATAGATGTGCCACAGGAAGTAGAAAAAAACTTTGTATGTCACATGTTTTTAACTATCAAGTTAAACAACCTATCAACTGGGTATAAAACTGCCAATACAATTGTCTACACATCCGGAGAATGCTGCCAGGTTTTAGAAAGAGATTGAAATGCTTGCACAAAAATAATAATGCATATATACTGAATTGTTTCAACATTCAGAATTGCTTTATCCCAGGAGAAACTAAGTGTGGAAGGATAGGGGGCTGAACTGGTCCCCTTGTAGATATTTTAGGGCTATACCTCCCACAACATCCACAGCCAAGAAATACAGACAAACAAATAAATATAGGAGGTGTGTGGACACTTTCACCATTTTGGGGCATTTCTGTGCTATTTCAGGCATCTGAGACAACATTCTTTAACAACACTTGTTTCTGATACAAGTTTTCTCTGGGACCTCTATTCCTCTGGGGTCCAAAACACATTCTGTAGAAGGGATGAGGAAATCCCTTTTTGCAAAAAAATAATAAAAAAATCAAATATTCATGGGCCAGAGGGCTTTAAAATATTGTAATAACATCCTACACACCCCGAGAGGTAGTTTTAGAGAGGAAAATTGTTGATCTCTGAGAGTGCTGTTTTACTCTATTGAAATGTGTATTTTTACAGTGTAGTTCCTATATAACCTACCATTCTTTAAAACAAACCAGCATTAGAATTAAGACATATTGATAATTCCTACTAGAGACAAATGACAATAACCATCCAATGTGACAGCAACAGCTTGAGCCACTATGAGAAATCTAGACCGCAGATATTCTTCAGTATGAATGTTGCTATAATTAAAACACACTTGAAGTACTAAGAGATAAGACTAATATATCCTCAGGTTCATAGGATTGTTTTTTGAAAAAAAGTGGCAGAATATAAACACTGCACAAGTCAGGCTTAGCTGCTATGAATCTGAAAGAGCCAGGGTAGGATAGATACAGAAAATTGTACATCAAATTTGTGAAATGCGTATTTCTCCAAATATTGGACTATAAATATTCTCAACTCTAGATAGTACTTTCAATGATAAGAGTTGACGTGAGTTGTAGTCGAGCAAGACGTTGACACAGTTCTCATTCAATGGAAAGCAATATATTCAGTGACGAACTGCAGCTGTAAAATTGTTGCTACCCAATTATATTCTACATTGTCAACATTTCTGTTTATGGAATGTGAAATTACTTCCCATCAGTATACATAGTTCTTTACAATAAAACAGGAGACTTTCTTTTTTCAGTAAACTCATATATACTGTGAATAAAACATGACTGTTCAAAACAATAGAGTTACCCATACAATCACTTATAGCAGTTTCTGGGCAATTTCTCAGCATTCATCTCTCTTGCATTTTTCACTTCCGCCTCCACGCTTTTTCTATCCCACCACATGCCACTTACTGCAAACACTAGCTGTTATGCCAAGCTCAATCCTACTCATCTCTCACTCTATCAACATGTCATATTAAGATCACATCCTGAACATGCAAACAAGTCACAGAGGAAACTGTAAGAGTGATAACTGGCAGTAGACCTGTGTGATATGTGTAAAGGAGACTAGTGATAGATTTAGGGGCTTACCTATTTCACAACTTTAATAAAAAAAAGGTTCACATTATAGCGCATTAATTTATTATACGCAATTGACTGGGAACATTTTGGAAATTGTATCCCACTATTAGACTGAATCTTATTAGTCTTTATGAAGTACAAAGATGTAAAAGTGCTAAGGTTTCATTTCTCATAAAACGTACATGTGTTACAAAATTAACCTTTATTACTAAGGCAGCAATTATTATTAGATGCTACTTACGTTTATGAACACTATACAATGTATTTTACTTTGCTGGTTCTTATTTTACATTTAGACTATATTGCCATTTTTATTTTGCCATTGCCCTTTACCATGTGTTAACTAATGCTGTCAAGTTGTGAGTTAAAGAATGTCTTTTTTGACACCATTAATAGGTATAAATGTTCATTCAGGTAATGAGAATTAAGTGCATCCTATTTGTCCCACATCTAGCATGTCAATGCTGCTCAGCCTTTAAATCTAATAATTTCAGAAGCCACCCTAAACCGTGAATGAAATGCTGTATTTTCATTTGAATAACCTCATTTATACAATTCATTTCCATGTTTTCTTGAGTTATAATTTGGAAATGAATTGATTTAACTGGAATTTAGAAATTATTTTACATGTATTCATTTATATTTACATCTGCTTTATATTCCTTTTCTACAATGAGCTCAAAGCAACATGCAGCCTGTACAATAGAGGAGAGTGGAGCAAGATGTCTTCCATAAAGCCCAGTACTGTACTGTTTTCCTGTTCCCTGCTTTAATGAGCACTGCTTGAGAGCACTCTGCTTGTAAATCAGGAGTGGAAAACCTAAGAAATTTCAGATGCTGGTCTCCCAATTCTCATCAACACCAGTACAACAAAATTTGGAATAACACAAGTTCCCTCTACTTCACCTTGAGGCATCTTCTTATTCTGGTGAAGTCTTGGGGTCCTTGATATTTTTAGATTACAGCTCCAAATGTACATTCCTATACTGGCAAGAGCTTAATGGAAGATAAAATCCAAAATATCTAGGTAATACCAGGTTCGCAAATAATGTCTTGTATAGGCCCTTATACACACCTCTGCTCTGTGGTATTGTGGGTCAGACTATCCTTTCTTGCAGTGTAATTTTTATACCCCCATTTGCAGAACAAAATTTATCAAATATTTATCCATCTCCAATGTCATTTTACTTGTCATTTCTTTTCATCATATTCCAAAGGTAGAAAAGAAGTGATGCATAGGATTAAGTTGACTGTATCTTGAAAATATAGACTGCATGTTTATTGGAAGAAACTTTTTGAGTTCAGACAGATTTGTTCTCAAACTGCAGCAACTGATTTCCATAATGGGTTAAAGACCTTTCTCTTTGATTTACTGAAATAAGCTACTGTGTCATGCCTGGGGTTGCTGAGGAGCTGATGGGATGTTGACAGTTTTACATATGCAATCAGCCCTCCATATTTGCTGGAGTTAGGAGCACAGAACCTCCATTAAGGCGAAAAATCACAATACATTTATTTTCTTTACCCGAGAAAATATCTTTTTAGGAATGTCTAGGTTGTCCAGCATAAATCTATGATCAGCATTCGCTGGAAGCTGGCAATAAAATCATATTGGAGGACCTAGATTCTTAGAGTGTTCTAATTTTTTTTTAGTCTGAGAAAACACCCTCATTTATTGAAGATACTATTTAGGAATATCTAGGTCTTCAATCACAACTCTATGGCCTATTTTCACTGGAAGGGGAACACAGAATCACAATGAAAGGATATTTAAAATGTTCTGTCTAGAATTTTCTAGGTCCTCTAGCTGGACTGTGTCATTGGAGGACCTCGAGATTCCCAGAGATAACATTTTAAATGATGAGGGATGGCTGTATTAATTTGTTAGGTAATCTCTTTTGTTTCTGTTTAGTTATTTTTATGTTTTGCCCTTTGTTGTAAAGCACATGATAATTATTATTATTATTTCCGCCAACCAACAAGTTCCAGCTTGTTGATGTTTGCGTCACAGTTAAAATATCTGGCAACTTTGGAGTGGTTAGTGTAAGTGGTGACAGTAACAGTTGTGGAGCTTGTTTCCAAAAGGTACAAAATCCACTTGAACAAATTTTATATGAATTGAAAAAAAACGTGTTGAGGATATGCATTATTTTGCTATTAAATGCAATTTTGCAAACCCTGTACCTATTTGATTTGATATTTATAGTATAAGTTGCAGGTTGTAACACAACAAAGTGTGGAAAAAGGAGCTGTGATTATTTCTACAAGGCATTTTACCCTAAATAAAGATATTCCATTTGTGTCAGATGACATTATGGGCTACAAATTGAAACTGAATCCAAACAAAACAGGCCTACCCAGCCAGTTTTTAAGCATGAACTTGATGTTTGTTTAATCTCTGCTTTGTGTATTTTAATACGTATTTTATAGAAATACGTTTAGTATGTATCTTTTATAGAAATACATTTTAATATGTATTTTTGTGGTATTTTAACAATGTTTATGTGTTTTAATTCTTCTGTAACGTGCCACGAGGAGAAGTAGGTAAGAAATAAAATTATTATTATTACAAAACAATTGCAAAGTATCTGAATAAAAACCAAATTTCCAAGTGAAGTTTCATTCTCTCAAAAATTCACCATCCTGAAGTATGATTGGGGGGGGGGGGGGGGAGCCAAAAGGACTGTCTACATAAAAGAAACCCAGATACCTTCCTTTCTTTTCACTAAGGGAAGGGTTGCCATTTGCTCCTACTAAGAGAAAATACATAGGAAGGTGACTTATACTTAAATCAGACCATTGAGTCATCAAGGCCAGAACGAGAGATATTAACTTGAAGCAGATCTTCAAGGTTTCAAATTGTTTTTCCCCTAGAGATGCCAGAGGCTGAACCTGAGATCTTTTGCGTACAAAACATAAACTCTACAATTGAGTGATGGATCTTTTCCATAATGGAAGGATACTATCTGACCACAAAGTAATGAAGGCAAAGCATGTCTATCAATACTGACAGTAAGTGGCCATATCCTCTCCAACAATGATCCAGTAGAGGTTTGTTCATCTCTACATCCCAGGGGTTTCTGGAAAATACAATACTTCTGTCTAAACCTTCACATAATGATAGATATTTTACTAGTATCTAATAATCTAAAGAGGCCCTACCATCCAATCAGTAAATCTGCTG